AATGGATTAAGTAAAATGTCCAATACGATATCTAATATTATAGTTTAATTATTTTATAAATTTACTAAATGTACTTTTATACAAACTGGATTTTATTTGTTACAAAAATTATTTTTATCATCGATTTATAAATTGTTTACATATTCGGGCACTTCTAATTCTACACTAAATAAATTTTCTAGCTTCCATTTTGCTGTAGAATCTCGTTGAGGATGTTTATACTCAGAAAGATAATTATCAATATCAAAATTCTCCATTTCATTACTTTCATCCTCTAAATCAGATTCATCATCTAATATTTCGTTTCTTAACATTTGGTTCCATAAATTCATTGTTCTTTCAAAACTTAATTCATTACCATTTATATTATTTTCGCCACCTGTAATTAGTTGATTAAAATCAGCATCATCATCATCATCATCGTCACCATCATCATCGCCACCATCATCATCATCAGAATCTTTATCATCAGCATTTTGATTACTATTATTACCATTATTATCCAGATTTTTTTCATTAGTAAGAGCATTACTAGAGTGATATAATTGTTTTATTTGCTCTAAATCATGATTTCGATGTGCTTGATCAATGACGCCCTTTATTTGAGCCATTGCCAGCACCTTTTTATACTAAATAAAATTAAAATTATAAATAAATAATATAAAAATGTTATTTATAAATAAGATATTTTGATAAACTTACATGCAACCGGTTTCTCCTAATTGAATGCAGGTGACCCATTGAAGACCATAATCGTTCTACAGAAGCAGCATTTACACAAATACTTGCAATTCGACATGCTACAAAACCCAGCTCCTTTGATTTAGTTGAACACCATTGCCAATATGCAAATATATTATCTTGAAATTGATTAACACAAGAATCATTAAATGGAAATTTTTTCTGACTATAATTCTGAAGTTCACATAAAATAGTTGTAGGTTTTTTGCCTGTCCATGCAATATAATAATATTGAATGTATTGACTCAGATCAACCCAGTTCATTTTTGGTAAATTAATATTGAATCTTTCAAGACGATAATGAGGATTAAGAGCCCAAGAAAGAATTAACAATGGCTGTTCCCATTGATACCATCGCTTTTCTAATCGTTCACATAATTTAGCAGATAAAGTTGCATCCGGATGATTAGATAATATTTTGTAAAAATAACCAAAAGAATGTAAAACTTCGAAAAGTCTAGCCTTATCTCTTTGTAAAATATTTAGACAAGCACAATAAGGTAAAAGCAAATTTTTGATAGAACGAACTGTTTTCCAGAATTCCTCATCATTAATAGGATCACAAATGGAATTTGGTAATATTAATTCATCAACAGCTTCTATATTTTCATTATTAGTATTTTTACGCCTATTTCTGTGATTACTATGGCTGGATTCTTCACCAGGATCTAAATAATCTTCTTCAATTCTTGGACCATATTGGCTTACTAGATTCTATGATTAGTTACAACATTAATTAATTTATAATAAAAAAAAAATAATAACAAAAATATGTATAATATACCCATACCTTTAAAGCATCACGCGTTTTTAAAAGACTACTAAAACAATAATAATAACTATTCCATCGGGTAAACCCTGGTACAACCAAATTCTGATATTTATTATACATAGATTTTTGAATTTCCCGTAATTTTCCAATAAAATAAGTATGATTTTTACTAGTAAAATAATTTGAAATCGTAACAGCCTTTTTTGAAGCTTCTCTATAATTAGTAGATTCTTTGAATATTTCTCCCACACATAAGTTAGCTTGATGTGCAAAACATGGGAGATAAACTATTGATGGATTATTAAGTTGAAGTATTTTCCTATTTTTATAAAAAATAGAAGTAAATTAGTTTATTTAAATAAATATAATAAATTAATAATAAAAGTGTAAAAAATATTTACCGTGCTGCAGCATAAGAGGAATGGCTATCAGTTACCACTGCAGATATTACAATATTTTTTTTAGCAACATCATCAATTAATTCCGTTATTTTTGCCTTTACTTCCTCAGTTCTTGCTCGTTCAACACTAATATCTTTTGCTTTCCAAATTAATACTTCACC